GGGGGGGGGGGGGGGGGGGGGGGGGCTGCGCAGTGACTGACCAGGCCATGTGTCTTTGTGTGTGTGTGCTCCATGTGAGACAGAGGACTCACAAACACATTCAGATATGCATTGAAAGTCTTGGCTGGTGCAAGTTTTTTTTTCCCTTCCCTTGCTGTGCTTCTCCGCCGTTTCTTCATTCCCTCATTCTGGGAAGTGACCGCTCCTCCCTGAGCACAAGAACCCGAAACAATTACCCTCCAACTTTCTGCTGCGACGCACTGCTCCGCCTCATCCCTCCCTTCCGCTCTCTTCTCCCCGGCCCTCCCCTATCTCGCTTCCTCGCCTCTTAAGTCTGTTCTTTCCCGTTCCGTCCATCTTTTCATCAGACCCCAGGTTGCTGAGGCCTTTTCGCTTTAGCTCTGACGTCCTTGTTTTTTGACCTTCTTTTTTTTTTCCCCGTGTAATTTAAGAAGCCATTATTCTTCCAGTCCCATTCTGTGAGCTAAGCCTCTCCTCCGCGCCTCTTCATCCGTCTTCATCCCTGCGTTCCCAAATGCTCCATATCTTTCTCTGTCTGTCTGCAGTCATAATGTATTCCTGATGTACCGCAGCTAAACTGAATTCTGAAAACACATGATTACCCAATGTGCATCGAACTACGAAGGATATTATGCGATGTGCCATCTGTCTGTGCTTATGCGCACCACCAGTCTTCAATTGTCTTAATCGACAAAAATGAAAACACTTATTCATGTCTGGGTACTGTGTGTGTGTGTGTGTGTGTGTGTGTGTGTGTGGGGTGGGGGGCGGCTGGTCAAAGTTGTGTTCCCTCCCTCCTGGAGATTCAGTCAATCACAAAGCCCTGCTTTGGAATCAGTTCCAGGTGAACGCTGCCGGAGATTTCCAGGAATGATCTCCCGGTTCCCTCTACTCTCTTTTCCTCCTCGCTAGGCTGCTCCAGCAGCTGAATAAAGGCCCCGGTATCTGGAGGCCCACGGAGGCTGTTCACATGTAGAATGAAGATTTAGTGTGTTTGGGAGGATCCGAGGAGGGGGGCTTGTGTCGAATTTGCAGTGGACTTGGGACCCTTTTCTTTTGATGTCTGTGGACATTTAGATATGCAACTTGTAGGCGCTACCGGGCTATTTTCATGTGCCAGTTGGGGGGCATTTGCCCATTTTGTGCGCGTGTATGACTGCTGTAGAGGAAATGAAATGTCCCTTAATAGCTGTAATGGCCTATTCAACTGCTTTTTTGAATGCACACCACAGGCTGTGGAAAGCTGGACAGAGGAGCCATTACAGAGCTGGGATGTTTCCCCAAGTATGTATCAAAGACTGGGTGTGGAGGTGAACTAGGGACAGATGGTTGGAACACACACACACACACACACGCTGACACAATCTCCAAGTGTGCTGGACCCTTTCCAGAAATTGTCAGGAACTCAGATGTGCATCAAGTTTATAGACAAGAGTGTATGTGTGTGTGTGGGCTGGACACCACATCTGGTCTTGCAGTGGGGCACTAGGTCAGCTCTTGAGGGAGTGCGTGTGTGTGTGTTTGTCTCTTAAGACTGACAATCCACACCCTTATCTCAGTGTGAACCCGAAAAGCACTCCTTCCTGTTTCCTCAAACAGACATGCTCGAGTTGGAGTCATGTCCAGATAACGAAGACAAGATCCTTCAAGTCCAAAATGGGTGTATTACTTAATCTAGAACTTCTCCAAACATAGACCACTATGCTACTATTCACTCGACACATGTTGCCAGAGGGAATGCGCTCCAGCTCACCCCCGAACATGTAGATATGTGTGAGACAACTTAACAGCGTGGTTTGGTGGTAAGAGAATAGGGGAGGTGTATGTGGGGGAGAGGAGAGGGGAATATGATATGTGTGTGTGTGTGTGTGTGTGCGCAGTGTAATCGAGTCCAGCTGTGGTCTTGAGTCACTGGTCAGACTTGCCTCCTCCTCCACATCTCCATCCATTCTTCATCTAATTACCGACCTTCCTAACCGCTCCGCTCCTCAGCACTCCCTCACATCACTCCTACAGTTCTCCGCAGTCTTAACGGTATTAAATCTGTGCGTGATTTCAACCACTTTTATTGTCTCTCCTCTTTTCTTTTTCCTTCTTTTTTTCCTCATTCCCTCCCACTTTTTGTGATGACGGTTGCTTAGCGTTTCTTTTGATGTCCTGGTATCTTTTGCCATCTGGCTTCATTGGTCGTCTTTTGATGTCTGGGGCAGTGTTTGTGCACGTCCGAGGCAATAATACTCCTCAAGAAGGAAAACTGAAAACTGAGCCTGTGTGAGAGCAATGGCCTCGTATGTTTTTCAAACTGATGTTTTTGTCATGAGCAGCTCACACAGAATGCGAACATTACGCAGCGGAAACACCTTTTTTTCCCGGAACAAAGTTGATTTTTTTAGACCTTTCGCACCGCAAATAAAATATTTATAATCCAATTACATTGTGCGGAATGGACAAACTGAAAACATACTCTGTACTCTACAACAACAGAGGCTCCATATTCTGGACCAAGACAGCAAACTTTATTATTCCTTTCATCCTTGGCAGCGCATTCCCAGATCCACTCTTACCTATCACAATAAAAGCCTTAGACATATAAACTGCATAACTGTTTACAAAAGGGAACTCTATTTAACATGTTTTTTAATTCATCGAGAGATGTGTAATGGCCTCAAACACACTCCCAAAATGTTGCTTAAATCTTTTTTCCAAACTTTCTTTCTTCTAAAAGCTGAGAACGTAATCTTGTCGACTTCTCTAGATGACATGGTTTAAACCTTTTGGCTCACAATGCCTCATTAGAGAGGACTTGTCAGCTCCCATCCTCTCTCTGCTTGCTGAAGCTTGTCGCTCAGTTTAGTTCAACCTCGTCTCCTAATGATCGCCAAATGGATATGCGATTGTTCATTTGATTATAGTCGTTGTCTGCTGAGGGTTCAGCTATGTTTGTTCTGACACTCATTCCAGTTTGGCTTTAAAAATGGCAGTTTAATCCGTTTGTATGCTTTGTATTTAGTTATTTTAGAAAATGATTTGCAGAAGAAAAATATTTGCCGACAGTAGTGTTGCAGTATGAAATCCCCGTTTGTACTGTGATAAAAACAAAATCTCAATATTCTTCCCCTTCCAGACGGAGCGTGGGGAATGGCTGCAGTTCCAGGCTGACCTACAGGTGGCGGTGTCAGTGGCGGACCGTCTGAGAGCCGAGGCGGAGGAAGAGCTGACTGCGCTCCGCACGGCGCACAAGGACGTGGAAAGGGAGCTGGCCGCGTCCCAGCAGAGACAGAAGGAGGCCGATATGCAACTGGTGACCCTGAGAGGGGAGCTGAAGCAGAGCAGGCAGAGACTGGCCGCTCTCTCCCAGGCTCCGTGTCAGGAACCAGAGAGGCCCAACGGAGAAGCAACCGACATCCCCGAAAGCAAAGACGGGACCCAAAGGGGCAGAGAGACGGGGCTGCACAGGCCGGGGCGAGAAGGGACGGAAAGCAAGAGTCCCAATGAATCCACGAAGAATGTCGAGGATGCCAAAGCAGACTGTAAAGGTGTGACCAAGCGTTACCTGAGGAACGTGACCAACAAGGAGAGGAGTGGAGAGGAGGTGCGAAGGCCGGTAACCACGGAGAGGTCAAGGTGAGATAAACTGTATGATCTCTGTGTGACTTTTTGGGGGAATACAGAGGAACACACCTAAAGCATAATGTTGTGTCGGTGGCACTTAAAAGTGTTCCGACAGTAAGATATTTCAAAAACAAAGCCAAAAAAAACCCACCCCATTTTTTGTCTCTGACATAGCAGTGGCAAATAAATAACAATCACCAAATTTGGTCAGGACTGTGGCCGTTGTTTCTTTTGACTGTGTTGCACAACTGCTCAACCCACAGGCCGTGTTGGGGCCACTTGAGGACAGTTTGAACAGCTGTATCTACACAGCTGGAGCGGAGTGGAACACCTGTCTCATAAAAATAAAAAAATGCCATTAAAAGGTAGTTGGTTTGGTTTAACTAACGATGTATTGTAATGTTACAGGAGCCTTTCCAGATTGCCTGCCTCCTCAGGCTCCCCCACCATGCAGAATGGAACTTCCCAGCCCCACACCGCCTCAACTGTTGGCCCTACAAACAAGGTGACACTTCATCTCGAGGAGGATCCTTCCTTTGAGTTTGTTTGTTAGCCAGGAAAATACACGCACACTTAATCCTGAGTTTGCTGATCATGTCGTGATTTTGACTGAATTTGAATGAATCTCGTCTTGTTTTTTTAAAGAACTCGGGGCAACTGAGAGGCCGAAGAAGTCTGGATTGGCAAGACAGCCGGTCGAGCACTGACACAGGTGTGTTTGTGTATATGTGTGTACAAAATGTGTCACAGTATGCTTGTGTTTGTGGCATAGACCATTTTTTTTTTTCAACGTTACCAGTTTTGCCGTATAATTGTTTAAAGGTACCTTGTGTCGTTTCTGACCACTGGCAGCGCTGTTGAGCAATGCTTTTCACAAATGGGTTCCCATTTTGTTTGCAGACCTGCCAAACCCGGACAAATATAGTATCACTTCGGCAACCTAAATATGTCAGGTTCAAGTCAATTTTATCCCACGAGCACGCAGACATATCTGAGAGCACGGGACAGGTGAAATAGAAATACACGGGCTTTACCGATTTGGGAGGCTTTAAAAGCTAGTTTACGAGGTAAACCCTCATTGGTCCTTTCTTTATCGGCAGATAGCTCATCGGTACGAGAAGAAACAATCCGTCGGTTAGCTCGGCTACACTGCTCAAAAAAATAAAGGGAACACTTAAGCAACACATCCTAGATCTGAATGAATGAAATAGTCTTATTAAATACTTTGTTCTTTACATAGTTGAATGTGCTGACAACAAAATCACACAAAAATTATCAATGAAAATTAAATTTATTAACCCATGGAGGTCTGGATTTGGAGTCACACTCAAAATTGAAGTGGAAAAACACACTACAGGCTGATCCAACTTTGATGTAATGTCCTTAAAACAAGTCCAAATGAGGCTCAGTAGTGTGTGTGGCCTCCACGTGCCTGTATGACCTCCCTACAACGCCTGGGCATGCTCCTGATGGAAGTGGGCGGATGGTCTCCTGAGGGATCTCCTCCCAGACCTGGACTAAAGCATCCGCCAACTCCTGGACAGTCTGTGGTGCAACGTGGCGTTGGTGGATGGAGCGAGACATGATGTCCCAGATGTGCTCAATTGGATTCAGGTCTGGGGAACGGGCGGGCCAGTCCATAGCATCAATGCCTTCGTCTTGCAGGAACTGCTGACACACTCCAGCCACATGAGGTCTAGCATTGTCTTGCATTAGGAGGAACCCAGGGCCAACCGCACCGGCATATGGTCTCACAAGGGGTCTGAGGATCTCATCTAGGTACCTAATGGCAGTCAGGCTACCTCTGGCGAGCACATGGAGGGCTGTGCGGCCCTCCAAAGAAATGCCACCCCACACCATTACTGACCCACCGCCAAACCGGTCATGCTGGAGGATGTTGCAGGCAGCAGAACGTTCTCCACTGCGTCTCCAGACTCTGTCACGTCTGTCACATGTGCTCAGTGTGAACCTGCTTTCATCTGTGAAGAGCACAGGGCGCCAGTGGCGAAGTTGCCAATCTTGGTGTTCTCTGGCAAATGCCAAACATCCTGCCCAGTGTTGGGCTGTAAACACAACCCCCACCTGTGGACGTCGGGCCCTCATACCACCCTCATGGAGTCTGTTTCTGACTGTTTGAGCAGACACATGCACATTTGTGGCCTGCTGGAGGTCATTTTGCAGGGCTCTGGCAGTGCTCCTGCTGTTCCTCCTTGCACAAAGGTGGAGGTAGCGGTCCTGCTGCTGGGTTGTTGCCCTCCTACGGCCTCCTCCACGTCTCCTGATGTACTGGCCTGTCTCCTGGTAGCGCCTCCATGCTCTGGACACTACGCTGACAGACACCGCAAACCTTCTTGCCACAGCTCGCATTGATGTGCCATCCTGGATGAGCTGCACTACCTGAGCCACTTGTGTGGGTTGTAGACTCCGTCTCATGCTACCACTAGAGTGAAAGCACCGCTAGCATTCAAAAGTGACCAAAACTTCAGCCAGAAAGCATAGGAACTGAGAAGTGGTCTGTGGTCACCACCTGCAGAACCACTCCTTTATTGGGGGTGTCTGTCTTGCTAATTGCCTATAATTCCCACCTGTTGTCTATTCCATTTGCACAACAGCATGTGAAATTGATTGTCAGTGTTGCTTCCTAAGTGGGCAGTTTGATTTCACAGAAGTGTGATTGACTTGGAGTTACATTGTGTTGTTTAAGTGTTCCCTTTATTTTTTTGAGCAGTGTATTTTATTCCATTACTTAGAATGCCAATGTTGCTCAGTGTTCATGGGCATCTGTGTACATGTGTAACTGGGCAATTGTTTGCTAAATAGTTCGCTACTTCATAGAGTGAATGTCAATCTTACAGCTTGTTCTGATGCCACCAAGTGGCCAAAAATCAGTTAAAGCTGCTCTAAATAGAATAGAATAAATATATGTGAGCATGTTTAAGGGTGGTGTGGCTAAACCTTCCACCGCTGCTTGGAGTGTTCATGATGACAGCATGCTGTTGGGTAATGAAGTACTTTTGCTTGTCTTTACAGGAAAACGCGAGGAGTCTCTAAACAAGTACAACTCTACCCTCACTGAGCTGCCTCCCACCAAGTGAGTCTTCACACATACACTCACGTGCTGACAAACCATGTTTGTCCAAAGGACCGGCCCAATTGCTACATCCTGTCGTTTCAACCCGAGTACATTTGTCTGGTGAACTCATACAGCTGGACATTGGGGCCTCTCGTACTTGGAATCAACGTGTTAATTAGGGTTTCTGACTGACAACGACTCCTGCAGTGTTCAAACCAAAAGCTCCTGAGCCTTACATCTTGTTGTTGTTGTCAGGTCCCAGGATGGTTTCAACCTGCTGCTGCGTCGCCACGGAGGCTCAAAGAGGAACTCGCTGCTCCGTTGGTGTCAGAGCCGAACACAAGGCTACATGGTGATCCTGGACATGATTTAGTTTACATTTTCAGGGTTTTTTCAGAGCAACACAAGTATTGTTGTGACAAATTCTGATTGGTACAAATGTACAAACCCATTCTCTTGCGTTACCGTAATCTTCTCTGTCCTTTCCCTCCCTGCAGAATATCGACATCACCAACTTCAGCAGCAGCTGGGCCGACGGTCTCGCCTTCTGTGCCGTGTACCACACCTACCTCCCCTCACACGTCCCTTACACCACTCTCACTCCAGAGAACAAGGTAAGGCCTGTTCCCGCCGCTTGTTTAATGGATGGGACCGAGTGATTATGGTGTTCCACTTATCGATTCGTTCTTTTCTCCGTAGCGGGAGAATCTCAGCCTGGCATTCAAAACAGGAGAGACTGTTGGGATTGCACAAACCCTGGTACGCCCTTGGTGTCTTTTCTGATTCAAACAAATAATTATACAGTAAAGCCTCATCTGACTTTTCTATGACAGATGCGAGGTAGATTTTGAGCTCATGAACGTGTTTGAACTCTTTGCTCCATAGACGGTAGAGGAGATGCTGAGAGCAGGAGGTCCTGATTGGCAAAGGGTCCTGAGCTACGTGGAGAGCATCTACCAGCACTTTGAGATGTGACTGCTGTCGGTATACTGACAGACAAGCCCGTCATAGTGGATCCTTAAGGACTCTCCAAAGGAAACAATATCAGTTGTGATGGCTTCCCCGAATATTATAATATACCTATTCTTGTGTGTCCGGAAACTGGATGAACTTCTGTTAGTAAAAGCTACAATGACTTCATGTCAAAACATAAAAAAAAAGGATTTCAAATTTCAACTGAAGTCCCCTCTGCTTGTCATACGCTTCGGAAAATGTCCTCTGACCAGAAGTGGTTTGTTTCCATTCTTATTTCTAATATACATTAAATCAGCTGCCATTTGACTTACATCAGTACGTAGTGAAGCATTCAGACATAGTGAAAGTAGATAGCTTATATACGAATCTGAACAACTGAGAAGGATTAATAAAACATATTTTTTAATACAAAATTTTACATATTTTAGCTTTTAAAAGACTATTAGTGACCACAATAAAGAACATGTGGATCTTTTTTTTTTTATAGCATCCTTATGAGGAAGGTGTATGTTTAGGCTGAGTTTCTGTAAATGTCTCCACACTGGTACGTCACTGGCCATAAGTACTGTATAACATCATGTCCTTTATCAAATCTGTAAGCAGTCCTTAAACTGGTCGTTGTTTTACCCGCCAATGTGTTTTACCTTTTAAGCATGTCTGTTATGCTCCTCAAAGATTCTACTTCATCCTGGACCTTTTAAGCACTCTGTAAATATGCACTTTTGTCGACACCTTGTTGGTGTACGAATGTAATAATGTACAGTACAGATGTTGCATAACTGCTGGTTAGTCTTCTACGGGCTCGGTAGGTATTCAGTAGAAAAGGCTGCAGACCAGTCAGAAGATTTGTCAAGTTCAACTTTCGGTTTAACAGACAGCTCGTGTTTTCTCACAGTAACTGCAGCGACTGAATGACAATGATCAAAATCTAAAAAAGTGCCTCCACGTCAACTAAAGTGGGCCAACGCTGTCGAGGTGCTCAGGGATGTGCACTACAGGAGTGAAATAAAAGCAAAACACAAGCCCACACAGGCTTGTGCATCCGGTTGCAACATCATCGCACAGACGCATCCTCGCACCACACGCCAGCTGAGAAACTGAAAAACAAGTTTCAGCAGGTGTAAAGCGGAGTTTGTTGCCAAAGTAACACCATTGTAAAATTGTTTATATGTAACTAGTGTGAAAAGAATAATACCAAAGAAAATAAAATGTTAATATGAAGCAAATAATACTGTGTGGGTATTTTTAAACACTTACTTTAGTGAAAAGACTGAGCATAGTAAAGTATCCCCATCTCTTCCAGGTTTGAGATGGAACAGGCAGAGCTTAGAAAGGAGGAGTTAGCCTTCACGTTACTACCTCCTGCTGGTGAAGAAGAAACAATACAGGCTGTCATTGTGCCTCTGTCATCATGTTCCTTGGTGAAAATTTTAATTACTGCTTAGAGGTTAAAACATGATCCCACAATGTCAGCTCATCTCCTCCCTGCTGCTATTTTTACACAAACTCTTTGTGTAACATCTATTTCTGTGTCACTCTTGCATAACAGTGCAACCCCCCCCCCCCCCCAAAAAAACCCTTGATACAATAAATGAAGTCCCATTTTTCAGTTTAAAATTGAACGTATTTCCGTGACTTATCACCATTTTCTCCCGTGACAAAGCCTCAGTAACACCCCGCTGTTCTGTTATCACAAAGTAATTCAAATGGCAAACCTGTTTACCACATACTGTGGCTGAACCGCAACTCTATGGATTTGCTTTCCGAGGATGGGGTATAAAGTATTGAAATGTTTACAAAAGCAACACAGATTCAAATAGCAGCTTCTTAGTTTTCAGATAACCCGTCAAGAACACAACTCTCAGGTGGTTTTGTGTCAACACATTACATGCAGGCTTGTGTTCTCTCTTGACATTCAAGACGGGCTTTCTTCTCAGTATGGATACACCGCGACGACTCTCTCTGTGCTTTGGACAGATTGTCAAATCCTTAACGAAAAAGAGATAGATGAGACACATCCCCCTGGGCAAAGGCGTTAAGAGTGTGTGAACTCCTCCTTTGTGTGTGACAAAGAATATACGTGTGATAATATGTGCATGCATCCGTGTGTGTGTGTGTGTGTGTGTGTGTGTGTGAGAGAGAGAGTGCGTATAAACGTGCGAGTGCGGGCCCCATGGGATGTTGGTGGACAGACAGGGGGGGGAGGGGTTTCGTAAAGCGTAGGTCCAGGTCACTTCACGACGCGGTCGCTGTCAGTTTGGTGTCTGAGCCAGGCGTTGAACGTGTGGCAAAGCGCGGACCAGAAGCATGGATGGGATCTGGGCTCTGGTTGTGTGGGCGGGAGTTGTGTTTTCGGCTGTGCCTGGTTCAACCCAAGACTCATCCAGGTAAGAGAGACGTGGTCTTTTGATACAGCCCTAATACAATCTTAATCCATATATTGATGCAGTTTTTTAATCTCATGCTCCAACTTGTTTCACCAATCTATAACAAGCCATTCTTCCAATGTTCTACTAGCCCATTGTTTCTGATCACAAGTCCAGAGGTGGTGCATGCTGGGACACCCACTTCGCTGGCTATCACTGTCCTTGCTGACTTCCCTGGCAGGGTGATTGCTGAGATAGCACACGGCAACTCCAAAGTTGCCAAAACAGAGGACTTCCAAGGAGGTGATACTGCAGTGACGAGGAGGTTTTGGGTTAATTTGCAGAATCACTTTTGACTTTTTGGAGGGCTAAATTATCCATTTTGTTTTTCAGGTTTGACCAGAGTCCTCACAGTCCCTGCTGTGAGTATGAATTGTGTTTTTTTCTTACCGATAAGAGAAAAATACTTGGACATGATTAAATGACCTGTTTAACCTGATATCACATGTATGTGTCTAAAACTGCTGATACAATCGCTCCAGATTCTTGGATCTACAACTGCAAATTCCCCCTTAAGCTTGACGGTGAGGGTCTACAGAGAGAACGATCTCATTTTTACCAACACCACCACCCTCAGCTTCAGCCCCAGGAACGTCTCTACCTTCATTCAAACGGACAGATCACACTACCAACCAGGCGACACCGTCAAAGTCAGAGTTGTGTCTGTACAGATGGATAACCATCCGTACAAAGGCAGAGTGGATATCTCTGTACAGGTAGGCCTCTGTCTTCTGTGTGAAAAAACGAAGCCAGAGGAGTTGAATGAATCTTTAGCCGGGTATTGTGTGGTGGTGGGAGGTTTGACTGACATTCTTTTGTCACACGCAGGATCCCAGAGGGAACGTCGTCGACAGGTGGGAGTCCACGGGGAACCTGGGCATTGTATTGTGGGAATTCAGTCTATCCCAGACGATCCCAAATCCTCTTGGCCAGTGGGTGATCACAACCACAATGAATGTAGGGTTGGAATAAAGAAATAACTTCACTTTTGTGCAGCATGTTGTTTAAAATACTGCTCATTGAATTGAATAAGAAAAGGATCTTTCCATTCTACCTCCCATCCTCTTCCCTACAGGGCGTCACTGATGCGAGAGCGTTCACTGTGGAGCATTACGGTAATAGATCTATCAGTTTAGTGCAATATCTCTTTTTTTCTACCATACCAGCAGATGATGGCACTTTCAATCGGTCGATCAAGACTGAAATATCTCAAGAACTATAGATGGATTGCCATGTAATTTTGGTACCGAGTCATGGTCCCCAGAGGATTAATCCTACTGACCTTTCCTCCAGAAAAGTAGACCAGCGGTCTCCAGCCTTTTTTGCTCTGAGAGCTAATACCACAAAATGAAAGTAGCCAATAGCTACTTATAGCATAGAGTTAGTCATTTCTGTCTTCTTTTTATGGTCTTTTAATAACATTTCAGCCACCGCCAAAGGGCTTTTTTTGTGTTTCGTTAGGATGCGTTCCACTAACAGAAGCCTCTGTTGCTGCGTCAGCCTTTTTCATCAGTTTGGTAAACAGAGGCTGTTGTCTTTTAAGCGTCGTTTTCAGCTCCTTTATCTTCTGTGTTTGTAGAATGCAACTAGCCGGAAAGTCACGTGAAAAATTGCTGTGGAATTTGGTGAAGTGGCGCTTAACATTGACATTTCACTGACTTTGACACACACAATTGTTATTCACAAAAAACAACCCTGTTACCCATTCCTCATGAAAATAGTAGATGTTTTTCCTCTTATTGGCTGGCTATTTTTTTTGCGGTCATCGCCTAATGTTACGGCGCCACCGATGTAACTAAACTTAAAAAGTAGTGTGACTGGCAAAAACTGATTGTGATTGGGGGGGGGGGGGCATGTCTGTGACTTTGATAGAATAGAAATTTAAACAGGTTTACAAAGTGAATTTATGTTAGCTTGCGAGCTACTTTTGTGGAGACCCCTGCTATACTCTTAGTCTTGTTTGTAAGTAAACTTACTTACTACCATTCCTGTTGCAGAGCATTCTCACTTTGAAGTGCTGCTCAAGACACCTTCCCGGGTCCTCGTTGGAGAGGACATATCAGGATCAGTGAGAGCACTGTGAGTTCAATTAACTCGTGCAAATCAATAATATCCCATTTAGACATATGATCCAGTACTTTATATTTGTATTCCCTCTAGGTACCCCAGTGGACGACCTGTACAAGGAACACTAACTGTCTCAGTCACTCTGGCGCCCGCTATGCCCAATACTGCATCGCCATTCGTGCAAACACAAACTAAATCGGTGAGGTCTTAGTGTAGCACATTTATGAAAGATAGTTTACAGTTAGTACAGTAAGTATCTCTGTACTAAACCGCATCGGCTGACTTTTGACCGTTGTTTTTCAGATCTACGGGTCAACACAGTTTTTCTTCAGCAACGATCTGCTTCAAGGAATTGGCAGCAGCGTGCACGTTGCCGTCTGTGTTACTGACAACTCCACAAGTGAGATATATTTTGAAACTACGTTGGATTCAAGCATCCCAGTCGCACCTTCCAAACCATTCTGTTACATCATCTCTTGTCACCCAAGGATCTAAAGTGAACAAAACTGTTGAAGTCCGACGCATGAGGAACACATTCCAGCTTGCGTTCCATGATTCGCCACCGACACTGAAGCCGCCTCTACTCTTCGTCACACAAGTGAGTGGATTATTATTATGCTGTTTATTCAACATCTATTTTTAAACTGATGTTCCCATTTCATTTCCTTCTCTGCGTCTCCTCCACAGCTGAGGATCTCTAGATATGACGGAATGCCACTCAGCGCTCGGGATCTGACTCAGTCTGCTGCGATTGAAGTCACTCAGAGAACATCCACGGTGAACGCTGAACCTACAACTCTGACACTCCGAGTGCCGGAGGACGGGAACATCCACATTCAGTTAGAGTTACAGGATCAAGTAGGGATGCTTTTTATTCGGGTGAGTATTTTTGATTAACAGTACAAGGAATGTTGGTCCTCTGGGAGAAGCAGTCTCGTTGTATGTAATACGAGAAGTTTCAGTGTCGAAAGAAAATCACCCCAAGACCCATAAACTTAATAAGTAGAGTGTAAGCAAACTTCCTAAGATTATGAAACTATTTACTTTCTTAATTTTTAATAATCTTTTTTCTTCAAAACATCAGCAACACACATTGATGATGTATTTTATGAGGTTCAAATGATTAGTTATGTTCATATTTTCTGTTTCTTGTGTTTACATTCAGGCAAGATTCCAATCCAGTGAGGAGACTCTGACGGTGTACAACAATCACATTTCTCCCAGCGGCTCCTATATTCAGATCTCCCCAATCGACACCTTACCGGCACAGGTAGCTCTTAACAAATATCTAGCACCAATGCGGTACGTCGGCAAAAGAAATATTACAGCAAACATGCCGACAGTAGATGATGCTGATAATGCAACGGAGAGACATAACTCGCATGACGTGTTTAACTTTTCAGATTCGATTGCCTCTTCAGATAGCTGTGAAGAGCACATTTCAACCAACTGAGCTGCACTTTGTGGTATGTTTGGTCAGATAATATCACATCATGCAAATAAAAATAAAAAAGGAATTTTCTTTTCTGCAATAACGACATATTGCATGTCTAGATAAGGAACCTTAAAGACAGAGTGCTGTTAAGCTTGTCCAATGAGTTTGATCACATCTATCTCGGGTGTTTGGTTAATGGATAAGGTGGTGAAAACTTGATTGCTCAGGGTTGAAACCCAAACACTTTTGAGTTTGATGTAATCATTTTTCTTTCATGTTTTATTTGAGTACATTGTTTTGCAAAAGAAAAGCCATAAACAAGTGTGCGAACCAAGTGAGGTTTACATATCTTGGTCTATACCGACCTTAAATCTATCTATCTATAATCACTATGCTAAAATATTGTATGCTACACGGAATGATCATTACAGGAATGTCTGGACTTTCCTGTGCTTAGTGAAATATTGGAAGAAGTTTGTGGTTCGTGCAAAGATCAAATACTGTGTTTGTACTTCCAGGTGAGCTCTGGAGGTCAAGTGGTGGCTGCCGGGACAAAGACTTCCTCCTCTTTTTCTCTGACCCCAACAGTGTCCTGGTCCCCTGAGGCCTGCGTCACTGTCTACTGCATCCTCTCTGACGGAGAGGTCACCATGGACACGGCGCACATCCCCATCAACCAACACAACTATGTAATTTCATCTTGTCAACGTGTTCGATCATATTATTCTGATAGTTGCAGGATTCTGCCCGGTCCTGTCTGTGATACGCTGTGTGCTCGCTTTCCTCAGGGGTCTCTGAGCTGGAGCACCGACAAAGCTCAGCCAGGTGAACAGGTGTCTCTCACCGTGACGGCTCTCGAACCGAGATCCCAGCTGGGAATCGTGGTGATGGGGGCGCATGGTGACGCTCCGCGGGCTGACCTCGACTTAAAAGTGGAGCAGGTGTGACGACCCGTTTTAATTTGCCAAAGCCCTGAAAGGTTTGAAAGTCTGATATCTTCAGACAAAAGACAAAACATCATCTCTGAAACTTAAACTCCTGTGAACCTTCAGAAAGTCACTTGTTTGGATACTGTCCGGTTTGCTTCATTTCCCCCCCCCCTCATTTCACAGTTTCATTGCAAAGCCCCCGTCTTCCCGGTCTCTTAATCTGTTGTAAACACTTCACACTTTTCCCAGTTAGATACTGTATGGCGGGCGTATAGTGTGCGGCCACTAAACCGGTTAGTCTGAGTGTAAACCATCTGTCTGCTTTGTTAGGAGATGACTGCTGTTTCTATGAACTGGTAACTTTAGTGTGCTGGGTCCAGGACCTGAGGGTTACTGATGGATGCAAGGTGGAGGAAACAAAAGCTTCACCACAGTGGGCTGTCTTAAACTGACCTTTCCCCACCTCCAAATCTCTGGCGCCGCGTATTGTGTCTGGTACAATAGATCAGTTTAACAAGCGAGCTCTCCTCGGGCATTTACAGAGTTTTACTCCTTATATCACCTGCTGAGACCTGACCTATATTTTACTGGCTGTTGCACTAATGATGCATGATCTGATAGTGGACGTCTCAGTACAGGCTTTTCATGCCTGTACTCCAAAAACTGCTTTTAGCTGTAATATTAGCAGCTATTGTAACAGATTTACCCATTGTTATCATCTTCTTTGTATCTTTCACTCCACAGGAATGTAATATTAGGATGCTGACCAATGCCAGACTGTATCAGAAAAACAAGCCCGATGGACCCACAAATGGTATGATATTAAATAGTACACTGAGTCAACGTGATCCTTTTTAGAATAGCATCTACATTCCATTTGGAGTCCCTCTGGGGACCATTTAGGATTTGTCCCACAATTTCCACTGGATTTTATCTTCATCTTTCCGCTACTTGTACAGTACTGATCTCTTCTCTCTCTTCTTTTTAAGACGGAGATGACCTAATGGTAGAGAAGTACTGGAGCCATTGGATGGATGCCACTGAATCCTTGCTGTGGTTCGACACTAGTGTCAGGTGAGTGCTGAGAGGGACATATGCTGGTGATTCAAATGAGTGCTCAGTGATGTGCTCAATAAATTCAGTGTTGCGCTTTTGTCTGTCACTTCTATCAGTATTCAAACGTGGATAAGTGAGAAAATAACAGTGCCAGATGGCGTTATGTCTTTGAGAGCTTTTGCACTGGTGATGTCAGACAACCTGGGTCTGGGCTTCACTCCGGTGCCACAAAAGGTAACTAAATATTCACTATAGCCTCTATATATCAGTGATGTTTCTCAAATATGGAGTTTGTATTTCCCACAAATCTAATTGCTTCCTTTTTGCAAGGAAAGGAAAAGGGCCTGGAGACACGGGGAGTGATTTGATTTTCATTTTTTTTGTAAACAAACCACAAAGTATTTGCACCATAAAGAATTGCAGCTTTAACAATGTTCAAGGTTGTAAGCCTAACGAGCCCTGTTCCATAACTTTTAATATCCGCTGTTAACAATGTTAGCCGAAGTTGCTTTTGAATCGGTTTATGTTCTCTCATTCACAGCTCACCGTGTCCAAAGATTTTTCCTTGTCTCTGGATGTCCCATCGTACCTCATCAGAGGAGAGGAGATTGTGCTGGAGGTGAACATCATCAACCATTTAGAGCATGACGTAGAGGTATGGAGGACTACATTTGTGGAATATTCTGGCTAAAATAAGACTGGTAAATCGTCTGAACTGGAAAATATGACTTTACTCCCTCACTGATGATTTATTTGTACCTTCCACTAATCACTGTCATTTATGGCACACAGAAGATGGTACATTGTTTGTTTTAAAAGACGTTCCTCTCAACAGGTAATCGTGCTGCTAGCACAGAGTGAGGCCTTTGAGTTTGTTTTGGCAGACAGAGGGGATGCCTCGGTGGTAAATGCCCGAAAACTCACCATGGGGAGTCATGCGGCTGCTTCAGCACTGTTCCCTATAAGGCCCGCGGGTCTGGGCGAGATGGAAATATCTGTGGATGCCGTATCCGCGGAGGCCTCAGACAGCCTTCTTTGGAGAGTGCTTGTGAAGGTGTGGTATGATGAAAAAAAAAAAAAGTGTTTTCAGAAATGTAACGTGCTGCGTGGCATGCGATTCATCCTATAAATAACTTCCATGTTCCCGAAGCCTGAGGGAGTTGAACAGTCCTTCTCGAAGACTCTGTTCCTGGAGATGGCCCCGTTGAAATACAACAGTTCCAGATCCATCTCCTTCTCCTTTCCACCAGATGTGGTAGCGGGCAGTCAGAGGGCCTATGTGGCAGTGGTTGGTACGTCCACGATTTTGTCCTCCCTATTGTGCGAGTGGGAGTTCCATTTTAGCGCTCTTCTTGTTTACTTGAAGTCAATTAGGCATGCATAATATGTGCCCGCATTGTCCTTTGTGAATAGATGATGATTTTGGGTATATGTCCTGAAAACATTTGGGTGCTGAATGTTGAAGAATGGTGAATGATGGACATCAAATAGGAAGGCAGATTCCGAGCAGCTGTCCGGCTGTTGGACTTGGCTCCTTCCAGGTTGAGGGATGTTGGGATTTTGTCATGGTAGAAAGGAAAGCCTCTATATTTTCCTCAGTTGGAGCCCAATGTGTGGTTTCTGTGCTTGTTGTGATAGTGAGCATTACTAAAACATCAAGCAAACATGCAGGATGAAGTTTGTTGTCTACTGTGTAACTTTCTACTTGTGATGGTCTTCATTAGCTTCTTCTCCATTCCTCCGTACCTTGTAACTTTAAGATTTCCTAAATCGTAGTATGTAGTATGGTAAAGCTGGGAAACGTTATAATAATTCCCAGTACAGACACTTTCTGTGCCCTTTTTAGGTCTGTTAAGACTGAAAGCTATTCTTGAATATGTGCAACAGTTAAATCTCTCCTCCTTCCCTCATGTACTGCTTTACACAGGTGATATCTTGGCCTTGTCCATCAGAAATTTGGATTCGCTGGTTCAGTTGCCCGTTGGCTGCGGGGAGCAGAACATGATCCACTTTGCTCCAAGTATTTATGTAATCCAGTACCTGGACAGTTCAGTTGAGGGCAATAAAGAGATCAGGAGCAGGGCTCTGGGCTACATGATGGAAGGTAAGCAGCCCTGAGTCACCAACGTAGAGTAAATGAACTGTATACAGTATTAATCTATGAGTAAAGTTAATTCATGTGCTCCTCAGATGCAATAGGGCATCTTGTGAGCGACGCTTTATTGGATTCAATTTGAAACTTGTTCTATTTTCTGCTGTAAGGATATCAAAGACAACTGTCCTACCAACGAGATGATGGCTCATTCAGCGCTTTCGGAGCCAGCGACACCTCTGGCAGCACATGGTAGGTCACCGGTGGAACGTTTTTTTCACTGGTTTAAAAAAGGACTCTAACGGTCCTTCTCTCTGTGGTTTCCAGGTTGACAGCCTTCGTGCTGAGGTGCTTCCTCCAGGCTCAGTCCTACATGCAGGTAGACCAGAGTGTCCTGACCAGAGCCATGACTTGGCTCTTGAGCCACCAGGGGCCCCAGGGTGAGTTCAGAGAGGTGGGCAGGTTGATCTCCACGGAAATACATGGAGGACTGGATGGTGGGTCAGTGGGACTCACTGCCTATGTACTGATGGCACTGCTGGAGGACGACAGCTACGTGGTGAGTTATGGGGAACTTGTGTATTTTAATAAGTTACGTTATGGGATTAAAAATGTAGTATACATAATGTAGTATAAAAAAGTGTATATCATATGTTTGGCAAAGAAGTCAGTTGATAGTAGTGGTGCAATGGCTCATAAAACTCTTGTCTGGTTTGTCTGTGTGAAGGACAAGTACCCAGGGAATGTGTCCCTGGCTCAGAGGTACCTGGAGAGCAAAGTGTCCAGTGGAGCGGTGGTCAGTAACTACAGCCTGTGTCTGGTGGCCTACGCTTTAGCTCTGACCAATAGTCCTGTGGCGGAAACTGCCCTAGATGAGCTCAGCAGGAGAGCTGACTACAGAGGTAATTTAGCAGTTTATTTCATGTTCAGGAATGTGCAAAAGTCACATATCTACTTCAATACCTTCTTATAATAATTATTATTATTGATGATAATGCAGTGAAAATGCCATGATATGGATGATATGTTGGACTACATTACTATTTGATAAATATTTTAGGAGCGCCTTGATGCGAATTTAAAGTCAAATCTCAGATTAGACTTTGCAGTTCATAACTGCTTGATCAGCACATTCATTGTGGCTAAACAACAAAGGTTGCTTTCAATTAGCAATGTAAAGAGATGTTGTATGGGGATGACTAGAAGTCAGAGAGGAGTTTGCAAATGTTTTCTACCACCAATGATTAAAATATTCTGCAGGCCGAAATATAAAACGTGTTGCTTTAGCAACCCTGAAATACTAATCGTTGATTTACAGGCTGCAACCATAAAAAATGACTTGTGGCTCCTATGTCTTTGGGCAATTTGTAGGTAGTTACTGTGTTGTGCCAACATCTGGCCAAGTGCTAGAATTTGTGAGTGGGTGAGATTGTGCAGCACATAAATCTAATTCCGTAAGTTTCGATTTTGTTCCAAAGATGGAGTCAGGATGTGGGGATCCTCGGCTGGCCTGGAGTCACATGACTGGCAGACGCGCTCAGCACAGATCGAGATGGCCTCTTATGTGCTGCTGGCTCTTTATTGGCGCGGCAGCTTGGTGGAGGCCATTGAAATCTTGAAATGGTTAAGCGAGCAAAGAAACCATTTAGGAGGCTACGGGACCACACAGGTGACACCACGCCCGCTGTTGTTGCTCGAGAAACTGACATGTAGCTATATAGCTGGAAATAGAATTAAGACCCGTTTGTTCAAATACACATTAAACTGGCGGAACATTTTCTTTCTCAGGACACAGTGGTTGCCCTCCAGGCTCTGGCTGTTTACGCTGCCTTCAGCGGTGCCAACGCCATCAAACTCCGACTCAACATATCCGCCCCGGCGTCTTCATTCGTGTCACTTTTTACCATCAACTCCACCAACTATCTGACGTATATGCGCCAAGAGGTAATGGACCTGGTTGGAATCCTGTGCTCGTAGCGTGCTTGATATATTGAATAATATATGTGATAGTGTATTTAGTGTACCATGTGACTATACTGTTGTCATCCTGGGCTTTCTTTGTTTGCCTTCTTTTACTTTATGTTTCTTAGATCAATTCTGACAAAGATCTGAACTTAAATATATACATGGAGGGAAGAGGATTTGCAATATTGCAGGTACAGTAAGACAACATTAGATTAGTTTGGAGCTTTAGTATGAATCCTGCGAAAAACAATCCCTTCTTTAAGGAAAATGTAACTCCACAACCTCCCATAATGCAGGAATGTTTCCATACTTCAAACATCAACATTAAACTGGTTTAACAACTGTAGCATGACCAGAAAAAATTGAACACAGCAGCTGTGCATGGTGGCTTCACCCAGCACAACGTACTGCATTGTATGTGCTAAACCAAAACAGCAAAATGCAAATGTGGCATGATCATGGACTCCCAGCAATTAACATCTGGAACGCATACTGTAGCTTGAAGTCCTTTAGTGTCTCCGGATCAGATCACTCACAGGAGGACTTTGGTGAGAGGTTAATCTTTTCATTATGCTCAATACTACAAACCACCAAATCCTGTTTATACTTCCATGATTCAATACTTTATTGTTGGAACAAATACAGAGATGCAATCTTTATTTCATCTTTGCTTTATGGAATGGAGAGATTCCTACAACGATGCTGTTATTGTGACGTTGAGGCATTTGAATTTAATCATCTCCATTACTGACTCGTATATTAGCAGTATATTTAAGCTCTTCGCCACTAAATCTAAGTTTTTTACATTTTTAAACATCTCCATGAATCCATCCAGATGAATATCTTTTACAACTTGGAGACCAAAGCTTTTTCACAGAACCTGCAGCACACCAAAGACGAGGAGGCTTTCTCATTAAGTGTTGATGTTACTGAGGAAATAGACAACAGTCACATGCTGTTAACTATATGCACGGGGTAAGTACTACAACACAGATGGTTGGTCAAATATGCCTGCATTTATGACTTCATTCATATTTTGTGAATGTCATGCATGTCAAATATCCTGCAAGACAAGGGACTATAACCATGTACATCTTCCTTGTCCTCTCTAGGTTAAAGGACAATCAGGTGATATCTCATACGGGCATGGTTATACTGGACGTGGGCATGCTCAGTGGTTTCAGTCTCTCTCCTGGAGCAGCTGGCCTTACTGATCTTATCAGAAATGTGGATATACTTCCTGAGAAAGTCAGCCTCTACCTAGATTCAGTAAGTGTTTCACCATGTGCTCATTTCACGGTCAGGCATGAAATGTTGAGGACGGCCACATTGTAATTGTACTTTGTCAAACCAGAACAATCTTATTGGTCGTGTTAAATCGTCACGGTTGGAGCTCACGAATAGAACTGTTTGACTAACCCGAATCAGATCTCTTTGGTTTTTTTGGCCTCTTTGTTAATTATTCAATTGATTATAAAGCCGTCAAACCCATTACATGTAATTTGTGTGTCATTTTCAAATGACAACTCCTCAGGTCATTAAAAGCCCCACACTCAAAGAGCAAACCCTGAGAACATGACCTCTGTGTCCACAGTGGTAGCTGCAATAAGGGTCCGGTCCTGAAAAATTAAGCTCATGCGGAAGTGCCTTAACCTTTTATTATTTCTACTGGCCAGCAGGGGGCGACTCACTCATCTGGCTGCAAAAAGAAGTCAGATTGTATAGAAGTCTATGAGAAAATGACCCTACTTCTCACTTGATTTATTATCTACGTACACATTGTAACCATGAGTTTATGGTCTCAATCGCTAGATTCAAGTCTTCTTCAATACAGCATGATGTACATTTAGTATATCATGGTCCCATTTAGAGTAAAATACACAATAAAGCAGGGTATGCTTTAGGGCGTGGCTACCTTGTGATTGACAGGTTGCTACCACGGCATTGTCCGGTGTGGGAGTCCGTGTTTACGTTTTGGAACTTAAACTCTAAAAAACAAGATGACCACAGCAAAAATGCTGATCTCAAGGCTTCAAAACAGTAGTTCACAAACCAATGGGTGACGTCACAGTGAATATCAATTTCTTATATACAGTCTATGGTCTGCAAAGAACCACACTTTTCTTGTTCAGTACATTTTAAAGTGTAATTGAGGAGGAGAATATGAGGGCTGCTGTATTAGGCTTCCCTAACTTAAAAGAAAAAAATGATTACCTACATCAGGTACATACCTGTATTCACAAGAACGAATAAGGTAATTAAATGTTGTATTGTGTAGTATTGTGTCTTCATGTCGAGACATTCACTTTTCTGGTCGCATTTGCAGCTGAACAAGTCAGAGGTTTGCATCAGACTTCCAGTTATCAGAGATTACAAAGTGGCTCGCGTACAGGATGCTGTGGTGCGGGCTTACGACTACTATGAACCCAGTGAGTACAGTTACAGTTAATTAAATTCTGCTCTGTCTCATGTTGGACTGAGAAAAGTCAAGACCACTAAAACATACTAGCAAGCATGACTTTTCAGTGACATACACACGGTACCATGTACTGACTATCATACGATTATTTACCCCCATCTCACAGCGAGAAAGGCAACACGAACATACAACTCCGACTTCCTGCACAACATGAATCTGTGCTCCTTCTGTGGTGAGAACTGTGATCGCTGTCGGCCTGGAGTCACCATCACCGTGAACTCCCCTCAGTCGTCTCGCTCTGTAGGCAGCGCCACCTGCAGCTTCATCGGCCTATTTCTTGGAGCCACTGCTTCTTTTATTGTCGTCTAATTGGAATGAATTATAGCTAAGATACAATCAGACATAATTATATAATATTAGCATGTATGTTAATATGCACTGGATGCAATCAAATGGTTTTTTTTAAATACTTAAATAATTTTTAAAAAGTTATTTCTTGACGAGTGATTGTAATATTTAGAGGCCTGTTTGCATGCAGCTCTTTTGCTTAGTGCACACGACTTCTACGGTTTATGAAGTGTTTTGTATTATTTCTTGACATAATGTGAATGAGAAATGACTGTCTTTGGAAACCTATCAGTCAAATTTAACTCATGTACTTGTATTTTGGTTCAATGGAAAACAAATAAAAGAATTTCTCTACTTGGGGTCATGAAAGCTGCCGTCCTCCAGTATGGTTTCATGTGTTGACTGGAATGAAAGCTTCAATAAAAGAACTCATGTTCAGCTGGCAACAGAACAAATGGAAATGTACCACATGTGTCCTGGTGTCACCACCGCAGAAAATGCAGACATGTTAAACTGCCGGAAGTCATACAAAAATCGAAAATAAGATTTATTCGACAGGCTTGCTCTGCTTTACCGGCTTTAATGGGTTTTTACTCGTGCTGATATGCAACAGTCCTGCGTGAGTGAACCAGACCTAACTGAGTTAGGGGTCAGGGGTCAGGGTTAAATATGGCACAAAGGAAGAAAATGCCCCTTCAGATCATTTGGAGCGATGTGAAATCGACCATTCCCCTCTGCCACATCACGAAACGTTGAGCCAAAGGAATGCAGACTGATCTGGAAGGCACACATGTAAGTCATCACCAGATAGTAATCAGGCCTGACGCTGCTCAAGTATCATGAATGTTATTTCAAAGCTTTTCAGCCTACTGTGTTCACTCCATGGGATATTTCATTTTGTACAACATAAACATTTCACACCATGTCCACATGACCAAGATCAGTAATCAATCATTTGAATGTGGAAGGGAGGTTTGTTTTGTCGCTAAATCTGACCTTTGACCTCTTTGTAGGTCAGCGTCACTCTAACCTAACTCTGTCTATTTTTAAAGAAAAGAATATGTTGTGTTGATGTCTGTTTCTTATCTGCAAGATGTTTTATAATGCTCATTGGGCAAAGCAACTTCCCTCAAAGGGCAATAACGCAGACATGGAATGAAGTTGAGGATATAAATTGTTAAAAAAATACTTTTAAACCCTTAACTTTTGGCTTCATTTGAACGTAGTAAATCGTTACAACTTGTGAGATTATCTCCCACGATTGCTTCCCTTGCTTTAGTCTTCAAATTAAACCTTTTAAATGAAGTGAATCCATCAGTAAAGATAACTGACCACAGCACTGTGGCATGAAAACAGCTACAGAATTGCAGCAAAGACAGATCCTGTTCTTTTAGTAAATACAGTGAAGTTTGGATATCCCAAATTTTGACCATATATGACCACACTGTCTTGCGCTTATTCTGTGTACTCACATGTGTTCCCGTTATAAGACTTCACCTTATAGAACCATGTTGCTCTAACTGAAACTACACACCGGGAGCTCACAGGAGATTTATGCATCTTCATAAAAAGGGGAACACTTTCAAAAAAATCATGAGTAGATAGCAACCACGCTGCCACAGTGTACCCAACGCATCAATAAATTAATTCCATACAGTCCCCATAATAATGAACACCGTTTGTAACGTCTCTTGGCAATTTCCTCAAGCTTTCTTCCACAAAATAAACCCTGAGAGGTTGTAGTACCGGTCACACCAACACTAGATGGCAGTCTTGCTCTCACAATAGCCACAGTTTTAAAGCATAGGTGCAAGCCATTATTAAGTGATACTATCACAAACAGGAAACCCTTTTGGCCGGCACACTTTCCTGTCTGGGATTTAATGATAACTTTGCTGTTACCACTAAATACAACAAGTGGGTGTGATACCAGGCATAATATTTACTCCACCATAGTGTTGATGCATTTCAGCAGAGTGCATGTCATGTTCGAAATAATTAAGCAAGGTCCCATCGTGTCCTGTATGCAGTCTGAGAACCAAACTGCCTGTAAATGTGTGTGTGGGATAACTGTGGATCAGGCAACAAAAACAGCGTAGGGGCATTCACTGGTCATGATGTCATGTGTCTACTATGTCAGAGGGTTGACAACTGCCTAATGCGGTGGCCTTAACTGACAGAGAGCTCAGTTAAGTGCAGTGGAGGTATTAGGACTTGATGATGAGTTGAGGGGAGCTCTATCTTAGCATAAAGATGTATGGGAGAGAGAGAAAAAGAGACTTACGTCGTTTGTCTTTCCCCACTTTGTTATCTAGCTATGAAGAGCAACGGGAGATTAAAAGGAAGAAAATGTAATATAGCCCAACGTGAAAGATTTTGCAGGAACCGCTTCACTATTTCTGCAGACGTTCCTGGAGCTTCGGGTTGGGGATCATACCATGCCCAAGAAATAATACTGAGCTCTAAATAGATCAGGCCCATTGAGTCTGATGACGTTTATTAATATTTCCCCCACGTCAATGGCAAGTAATGTTGGCAGCGTGGTAAACAAAGTGAAGGAGACGTTTATTTATGAGCCGATCTTCTCCGGGTGAGAGCTTGTAGAGGAACATGCGAAATGTTGTCGTTGGACTCGCTGTGACAGAGGGCAAGATGGAGTGGGAGTGTTTGGTCCAAATATGTAATTCACCTCAACAGCAGGCGTCGCGGATGAATCTTCAAAAGTGGACGTGTTGAAGTGCTGAGAGGAATCTGTCTCGTGATGAACGGATTTGATCAAACGCACTCATCAAAGAGGAGAAGTCGGTTGACAGCGCTGCATATATATAAGTGTAATGCCCTCGTTGCTTTCAAACCGCAGTTATTTTGTGCAAGACTTTGTGGCTGGGAAGCGTTTCCCGGCAATGCTTCATTTTAGAGCAACATCTATGCCAAAAACATAGATACTAAATGGCTCCCTGTGGCCCCCGGCTCCAGATGACATCAGTAGGAAAGAATCGCCATTTCAACAAACAACCACATCAAATGGAAACCTAACATTGTGTCGGGACAGAAATCGGGGGGGGGGGGGGGGGGGGCAGCAACAACAAAGATGAATTGAAAGGAAACTCCCTGGCGATGCTACCTAAACGACTGCGATTCGGGGAAGAGGGTGATGCATTTGTTTGGCAAGGCAAAGTCCCTTTGAGCTTCCATCCCACCCAGAGTGAGCGTGTGTTTGCACAACCCCCAGGCAACCCTGCGCAGACCGGCCCAGACGGATGAATCCATCACAGACAGAGGGGACTCCAGAGGAACAAAGCAGGGCTGACGCTCCACTCAGTCATCCCTGATCTTATCACTGTGGGCTGATCCTCTCAGGTAGAGATGACCCCAAAGAAGAGGTGTCTGGTTCATTCTTCGTCATCACCAGAAGATTAAGTTATTAGTGTCTGTCAGGCCAAATGTCTGCCTATGTGAGTCACTTTCCTTTCATGTATCAACAGGTCAACTTCATGTGTTTATGTCTGGTATGATCTGCTACGAGCCCAATGAGACATAATACAAACAAGAATCCAGAATTATAAACTACGTATCGTGGCCCTGCACGGATACCTCTTAAACGCCAGTCACAGATCTGTTCATAAAATGTGTAAGTGATAAGAATTATGAAAATGCACATTTGCTGTATTGATGTCCAATGTCAGACGATTGGTCAAACCACCACTTTGGAACCACTTTGATGCTCTGACTTTTTCTTCCAGTGCGTCAATGAGGTTGACGTTTGTGAGTTAGATGTCTATTGCGCATGCTGCATGAAATTTCGTCCAACCATTCATCTCTTCCTCACAGATTTCACAGCAACTTCGAATGACCATTTCCACCCCTTTCCAGCCCCACTGATGTTTCAGTGCAACAGAATGAATCGGTTTTCATTGCGGTCAAAGGTCATCATTGGGGAGAAAGGCTTCAACGGTGCCACCTTTTGGAGTGTGATTGATTGATTCCGTCTGGCTCAAGGTGGTTTCTTGACTCCCCGCTTCTGGGCTCCATTTATCCAGGCCTCACACTTGGCATCACCCGGTGAGTCACTTCAGACTCTGGGGTTCTGTTAAATCTTTGTGAGAATGAATGATTCACAGTACAGACTAAACTAACCGGTACACACACACACACACACACACACACACACAGAGGGAGAAAACACACCAAATTCCGCGATGACTTCTCTCACTGAGGTGCTCTCCTAGTTTTCCAGTCACTTTTCACCGGGGTCAGTTTCGCTGCCCCAGATTCAGCTGTCACACATTTCCTCAACCTCATGGGCCAATTAGAGTAATCAGAAACAGGTGGGAATAGGATTCTACCACTGCTCCTGTATGTGCAAATGTATTTGTACTATACGCAGACATAAGACAGAGACAAAGAAGAAGACGGTTTATGTGTGCGGAGGGCGGGGGGGTTTTATGAAAGCACCACATGTTTGTTTGCACAGACATGTCTGGCTGACATGGGATTATTATGCATCTAGTTCCTGCAGTCTGATTAGGACCCAAACACTGTCTTAAAGTGTCCGAATCCACTGCTTTGATTACTCCACATGGAGGAAACGCACAGGATGTGCAGTTCAACACGTGTGACGTGAGGGTTCATGCAGTAGCAGGGTACACGGGACTGCTGAATGGAGGGGTGCTGGGAAAATAAATGCTCCCGCTCCGTTATTCCACTGACGTATGGCTCGATGATAACGAGCACTTAAACGGTGGACCTGCTGGAAGTACTCGAGCCACAGTTGAGATGGAGTGTGCCGAGTAAGACGTGGCTTTCGTGTCTCGTCGGCTGTAAGCGGGTCATTAATGGCGTTTCATCTGATGAGTCAACACTTTACAATGTGCAATAAATCACTGAGTTGACGTAGAGGTCTCTCTCTCTCTCTCTCTCTCTCTCTCTCTCTCTCTAAAACTCAGAGGCGTAATATTTGCCTTCTGGTGCTGGGCTGCTGGCCACTTTCGGGCCAATACAACATAGTGAGTGACAGAGTTATGGGGAAGCATCCTGGGTTAACACAGGTGAGGTAATCAAAGC